TTTAAAAGATGACCGGTAAGGGGATCTTAACCCTTGACTTGGTGTTGTCAGCACCACGCCCAGCCAGTGAGCGAACCGGCCATCCCTATATGGGATCCGAACCCGGGGCCTTGGTGTTATCAGCACCGCACTCTCCCGAGTGAGCCACGGGCCGGCCCCACCAGAACCCACTTTTGTAGATGAGCGTCACTGGCCATGGTTTGCATGTGGCCATTGAGGGGCTCAGGGAGGGTGGTGCCCATTAGGACAACAATGCTGTCTCATTACAGGCGTCTGGAGGAGGTTCAGTTTGGCTAAGGATGCTGCCTGAGCCGTTTAGTTAGAGGTGCTTGTTTTGTTGGGGGTGCTTATTTCCTTCCCAACCCCCATGCTCATCCCAGTGTCTTGCTGGGGTCTGGGAGGCCCTGATGCCCACAGAGCACTCCCCCCACACCCCGCAAGGCTAGGGCCACCTGCAGGGTCCAGCGTTCTCTCAAGCACTGCTGGACAAGATGATGGCTGCTCCCACTCCCAGCTCCAGAATGACAGTTGCTCTCTCTGGAAGAGGCTCCAGGGGTTGGGTGGGCCTCCACTCTTCTCAGGACAGCAACAGCCTCTGCCTGTCTGGGAGTCTCAGGGGCACCCACACCTCAGGGTCAGGAGTGCTGCTAAGGCGGCTCCTCTTCTGCCCCGAGGTTCAGCCCCACCGGCCACCATTTTTCCCTTGGATAAGCCACTGCTCTGCCCAGCCCCCAGCCCCCCACGGTCCTGCAAATGTCCATGACATGGAGCCCCTGCAGTCCCCACCACCTTTCCTCCCTCCTTGGAGCCCAGGCTGCAAGCCCTGGCTGTGCCTCCCTCAGGCTGCAGCCCCCTGGGCACCGCGGGCCCCATCTTCACGCAGCAGGTATCGGTCATGTTCTGTCATCAGCGCCTGTCAGGGAGGAGCATTCTACCTGTGCAGACTGCAGAGATGAGAAGCTTCCAGAACTGTCTGTTCATGCTGCTGGTGGCCACAGCCCATAGTATCTGGGGCCACCTGCCCCAGCCTTGAGTCTGTGTGAGGTATGGTGTGTGCTTAGGATCCTCCAACACCTAGGAACCCCCATACTGGCACTAGCACCTTGGGAATGAGCCCTTCCTCTGTGTGGATGGACAAACCATTGGCTCCTGGCGTTCAGGAAGGGCATGCTGCGGCTGTGGGCATGGCGCAGCCATTGTCCATGGTGGGAGAAGGAAGGCGAAGGAAGGCCCAGCCTGGAAGGGCTGGGAAGTCCCCGTCCCAGCCTGCTGTCCCTCAGCCCTGGGCCTGCAACACA